GGTTCATTCTCGTGTTACGCATCATGTTTGAGCTTCAGCAAGAACCAATGAGGTTCATTCTCGTGTTACGCATCATGTTTGAGCTTCTGCAAGAACCAATGAGGTTCATTCTCGTGTTACGCAGCACGTTTGAGCTTCTGCAAGAACCAATGAGGTTCATTCTCGTGTTACGCAGCACGTTTGAGCTTCAGCAAGAACCAATGAGGTTCATTCTCGTGTTACGCAGCACGTTTGAGCTTCAGCAAGAACCAATGAGGTTCATTCTCGTGTTACGTAGCACGTTTGAGTTTCAGCAAGAACCAATGAGGTTCATTCTCGTGTTACGCATCATGTTTGAGCTTCTGCAAGAACCAATGAGGTTCATTCTCGTGTTACGCATCATGTTTGAGCTTCAGCAAGAACCAATGAGGTTCATTCTCGTGTTACGCAGCATGTTTGAGCTTCTGCAAGAACCAATGAGGTTCATTCTCGTGTTACGCATCATGTTTGAGCTTCAGCAAGAACCAATGAGGTTCATTCTCGTGTTACGCATCATGTTTGAGCTTCAGCAAGAACCAATGAGGTTCATTCTCGTGTTTTTTAAGCGTCAAAGGGGTAGTTGCGTATAGCTATCAATGGAGGGACAGAAATTGCTCAGATTTCATCACAAAGATGAACAAAAGTCCTACGTGTTTGGAACGACATGAGGGTGGGTAATTGATGACAGAATTTACATTTTTGGGTGTATCCCTTTAATGCTCCATAAGGTGGTGTTTGAGCAATTCAGTGGTCGGCGAAGCAAACCAAGGATCAGTATGATCTAGCGTGAGCAGTTTGGAGGACTGTGCACGCTAAGTGTTGGCAAGGTCTCTCCGGAGTTATGCCATGTTTTGTGCTTCAGTCGCTGTCTGTCAGTATCGGTGAGATTGCCGGTAGGAATATAATCATACACCATTGTGCTTTCCTGAGATCTATAATAAACCCCATTGAGTTTTCTGTCACCGTTCGCCTTGATAGTGTGTCCATCAAAATATTGATTCAGTACAATATGTAATGGCACATTGATTTTCTGCTGAAGGTGTGGAGTGATGGACAGAAGCTTGTTCTTTTTTCCTGCACGACCCAATCAAACCTCTGCACTCTCATTCTTACAGTTGAAGGAAGGGATTTTTATTGTTTTACGGCTATTGAGCTTCAGAGAAGGTTAAAGTTGGAATAATATTAATCTTTAAACCAACTCTGACAATCTATAGACAGACACCGGCTTCCCCAGAGAAAAAGTTTATTGCTTGTGGTTGTTCTTTTGTAACTCAAGAGGCTTAACTGAAGTATCAGCTTTGCCTCAGATGTTTCTCCCTAAAACTCCTTAAAGCAGAAATAACACAAGGAAATAGTTGATGTATACACTGTAAAATAATAATAATAAAAAAGTTTGCTACCTTAAACTACGTTTTTGTAAACTATTATAAAACCTGTTGGAAAGCATCTTTTGCAGCGATGTTTGTGTGAGCATATCAGTGAACACCCCAGACCACTCGATGAGTTTCACGTCTTTGTAAACTAAAGTTTAATGCGTTTTAGGAAGGATTGTTCCAATGCAACAATTGTGGAGGTGGGGGGGTGCAACCACAGAAACCGAAAATTCTCGGGCCAGCAGCATGTGTCCAAATTTTTATCTTAACCGTTCTATTTCATCAGAAACGATCTTGAAACAGGGCTTTAAGTGTAAAAATACCGAACTTGTGCTTTAAATTTTTAAGTACAATGAACTTAAAATGGATATTGACTTAAAAAATATTATTACAACAAGTTGAAAATTGCTTAACTTATTTTGATGAGTTAAGCAGTGTATAAACATATGTTTTCATAAACATTGATCATATATATATATGTATATTTATTTTTTTATTTTTTACAGTGTATATAAAATGAATGTGGATAGCAGCTCAGATCCTTCAGTTTAGAAATGTTTGGTTTCATACTGGGATCTGTCTGAGTCATGGTTATTACCATTACCATTAACTAAAACCAAAACCATTACAATAATTCCTCATTTTAATTTAGCTTAAAGGCCCACTGAAGTGCCTTGGAACGCATTTCCACTGAAACAGGAAGCTAAGGCGGAACATATTGAATGTTTCCTCCCCCTTTTCATATAGCCAATAGCGTACATGACAGCACCAGGAAGCGAATCCGAGCGCTGATGATACGTTGGATTCAATAGTAGATACATACTAGAGCTGTGAATAAATTCTAGCCATTTCATTCTTAACCAACATAAAGTTGGACAACGGAATAAACTCGAGCGTTTGAGCAACCGAACACACATCTCCAACCCATATTGCTCCGTCCGTGATGTGTCAACGTCGCTTTGACCAGGTGGTTTTTCAACGCATTCTCATCCCAAGGCCTCATATACTGACGCTTTTGCCAAAGCGTCTACATCCGACACACATGGCACCCTTTAGCGTCAATATAACACGCGGTTATGGGTAGGTTTAGGTCTGTTGTAGTGTTAGGGTTAGACCACTAGGAGGCGCCATATATGTGCGTCTCTTATTGACGCTAAAGGGTGCCATGTGCGTTGGATATAGACGCTTTGGCAAAAGCGTCAGTATATGACGCCTTGGGATGAGAACGGGCTGGGTATTTATAGCATAGGGGGCGGAGCTTTAGATTCTAGAGAGCATTTGATTGGACAGAGGATCTGATGAGACGCTGAAGTCCGCGGTGATGTCATAAAAATCCGTGATCCATTTTAGCGGAAGTGAGAGGCTGTAAGTTTTAAATGCTTATATCTCCTAAATGCAAATTTTGTTATTGTTTTTGAACACACCAGCTTATTCATAACCTTAAGTCTAACATATACATACTAAATCCTAAAAAAACTTTCAGGGGGCCTTTAAGTTGAAGTACTAAAATTAAATGACAAATTCAATTGAATTAACTAAATAAAAATGAATAAATTATATAAAGACATATTTTCAGACATAAAAACAACAAAATGACAGAAAAGGCTTAAAGTAAAAACAGAAAATATAAAAATAGAATATAATTCTAAACATTAACAAAACCTATAATAGTATATCAATGGTAGTAAAATAGCACTGGTCTGAGCAAATGACAATTTTGACAAGCAGCAGTTCTCCAATTGTTCTTCAAAAAATCGCACTGTTGTCTAAGAGAAAAATGTGCCTCTCTATGCAAATAATATTAAATCCATCCCACAATGTTATATTAATAGCAGCAGTTCTGTGTGTTATATGAACATATGAGGTGTAGGCCTATATATATCAGATTATAGGCTAATAAATAGTCACAGTTATCGTCATTCCAGAAAGATTCAGTATATATGGCTTGGGTAACTGAATAATATTCATACTGTCTGTATGAATGATAACATTATCAGGTGACTCAATCGTAAGCAAGATGAGCTTAGTTACAATCTGACAGCTGGGCAATTTTACAAGACAACATGTATATTTCATAAGACCTGCAGTGAAGCTGAAAGTCAACATGGTACTAACGTGTATTTTGTTAGTTTGGTAAAGCATATATCAAGCTGTTTCAACAATAACAGTGATTACATACATTGATATTCATGCATATAGAAAGAATATCATGAACTGAGCATTCATGTTTAACAAATACTTTTTATGTATAGCAAAACTTGGTATGTCTAGTTATATTTTCTGTTTCCATCACTCTTCAAGCTCCCATATTATACAGACCGATAGATGGATGGATGGATGGATAGATGAAATGATGGACAGATGCCTTTTGTGCACGAGAGAGAGTGTGGCACACCTGGAAGAGCTCTGGATCCTCTGATCTTTGCACCTGTGACTGCAGGAATGACTGATCAAGCGTTCAGCTCAACATGATGACAAAGACTCTCTTCACCACAGAACAACGGCTGCTAGTCTCTTTAATAGTGGATCATATCATTTCGAAATTGCCATCATTTTTAAACATGTTTTTTTTTCTTCCATAATGTGTAATTGTACACTGGTCTAATTGTGTATTAGTATTGGGTACAGTATTCAGCTAAATTCAACCTATTACATATAGAGTCCATTACACTGTCAGTAACGTCAGTATTTATAAAACACGCCATTAACCTTGTGTTTCATACTAATGATACGTTTTAAGACAACTTAAATTGATCAAACACTTGACCAATGATGCATTTAAGAAACTGTTTTGGTTTGTGAGATACCAAGTTTGGGCCAAAGTGGTCTGTTGCTACTCTTATCCTATAGCGCCACCTGCTGAGCAATTTAAAAAAAATACATGAATTCATTTTTTATTTTTTTTATTAGGATGACACAAGCCAAAACCCGAACAACCTGCCTGATCATGTTTAAAAATGAGTTTGAATAATTGGCCTGCTGTGGTTGATATCTGTAAAGATATCTGATCCTATACTGAACCCCCTCAGGAGTGAAAACACTAGACTAGAGCAACAAAAAATGCCAGACATTTAAAGTCAGTTTATGCCTTTACTTGACGTCTAGTCGAACGGTGGCCCAAGATATTGAATGTTTCTTTCTTTACTTCTTGTTGCACCATTTAAGAACTTACTTTGAAATAAAATAACATTTGTATTGACACTTTGCCAATATTATGTCTGCAATCATGACCATAACATAGCCTATTCTATTCTATTCTATTCTATTATTTTCTTTTCTTTTCTTTGTTATTTTCTTTTATTCTGTTTTGTTTTTGTTTAGTTTTCCTTTGTTTTCTCATTTTATTTTATTTTGTTTTATTATTTTGTTTTATTTTATTAATTTATTTTATTTTATAATTTTCTTTTCCTTTTCTTTTCTTTTCTTTTAATTTTTTCTGTTTTTGCTTTCTCTATTCTATTCTATTCTATTCTATTCTATTCTATTCTATTCTATTCTATTCTATTCTATTTCTATTCTGGGAAAAACGTCAATCTGGCACCCAGCGGAAAGTAGGCGTGTTTGTTTACATTTCTTCCTGCGCCACGCGACTGTGCGTGATGACGTAGGCGACACGCAGCGCGCTCTGGCTCTCGGAAGAGAGAGAGGTGACAGGCTAGCTTTCAGAAAACCGGAATAAAGTGATGCAGAAAACGGTAAGACGGACATTTTTATTACATTGCGAGTGAGACAGAAAACTGTACTAATATGTACGCGTCTTTTTCATGAACAACAATGTCTCTGTCGCCTGTTAACATCCATAAAGTCTCTTGAGATGCTAACAGGATAGCAGGTTAGCCTGATCTCCAATGTAGAGGTGTGAATTTTGACAGTTCACGAGTTTAAAAGATCATAAAATAGTTTTCCTTCGAATACAAACATAGATCTAGTTTCATAATTTTATTTAATCTTAATTTCATCTCTCCATGTGGATGATTTTGACACCAGAAATAATGTCAGTGTGTTTTTTGTAATCTTATACTAATAGTCCTCATTTACATCTCACCATATGACAAAAGAAATCCTAACAAAAAAGGTTGACATGGAAACCATAGTTGCAGACAAAATTAAACATTAAACATTATTATTTGCTATATTACCAAGTGATAAATTGATATCACTATAAATTGATGATACAGAGTTTGGCCAGACAATGAAACTTGTTTATTTTTCTTTCCTGACTGTGCACAATTATACGATTATTTGCATTTTGCATAGCTTTTTGAGCCTTCCAACCTTGGTTTTGAGCAACACTAACCTGTCCTGCCTTCTTCTTAGAGCGTTTAACTTTGACACAACCATGGAGACTGATGCAAACTCCTTCCACGTGGAGTTCCCGGACTTTTCCTGCTCCCTCCTGAAGAAACTGAACCAGCAGCGGCAGAGAGGACAGCTCTGTGACCTCATCGTGTCCATCGGCGGCCATCAGTTTCGTGCTCACCGGGCGGTTCTGGCCGCCAGCTCCCCGTACTTCTGCGATCAGGTGCTTCTGAAGAACAGCGCTCGCGTGGTGTTGCCGGACGTCATGCATCCGTGTGTTTTCGAGCAGCTTCTCTTGTCGTGCTACACCGGAGCGCTATCTGTGCCGTCGGGAGAGGTGGTGGCCTTCCTCACGGCTGCTAGCTTCCTGCAAATGTGGCACGTGGTGGACAAATGCACTGAGCTTTTAGAAGTTGGGAATAAGAAAAACAGCAGCGTTGGGAATTTCAACCACGGATCATCCCCGAGAGGGGACGGTTATGCCACCGATAACGAAGACAACGTCCAGACCGCGGGTCAAGCGGAAGACCTAGTCGACGACGGCCTTTCCATTCCCGCTTTGTCTCCAGATGATCCGAGCAGCGAGAACGGGTCGGATGCGATGGAAAACCAGTGCTCGAGACCTGCCTATGTGCCGCCGAGCATAATGGGACACAGAAAGAAGGTGCATATAAAAGCAGAGAGGCAGAATCGAGAAGCTTGCCTGTTCGAACACACCGCAAACGATTCGGATGAGAGCGGTCACAATCCAAACGCAGTAGAGGATTGCTTTGATGAGAAATTAGTGGAGTGTTTGGACAGAGATCGCACTTACGAAGAGCCCTCGGACTTCTACGGATCCTCCATGGAGGGTTTTTCGCAAGCCGGAGACGAGCTCTCCAACCCACCGTCCAAGGATGAACTGCAGCTGGAAGGAAGTGCAGATGTTCCCCAAGACGAGGCAGCGGTGGACGGTGGCCTAAAGGAGCAAACCTCTCACTCAGGGTTCGCCTCAGTGGTTTATAAGCTCTATCCGTGTCAATGTGGCAAAAGTTTTACGCACAAAAGCCAGAGGGACCGCCACATGAGCATGCATCTGGGTCTGAGGCCGTTCGGGTGCGCCGTCTGCGGGAAAAGCTTCAAAATGAAGCATCACTTGGTGGGCCACATGAAGATCCACACGGGCATCAAACCCTACGAGTGCAGCCTGTGCTCGAAACGCTTCATGTGGAGAGACAGCTTCAACCGTCACACCTCCACTTGTGCGAGAGCCCAGCAGACCCGACGCGCCTCCCAGATCTGCTAGTGGAGGAACGCTTGGGAAACCTCCGCATGGAAGCATCCTTTACCAGAATGCCAAATTAGCTGCTGTATACAGTAGGAAACTGAGTATTTTTGGGCTTTTATTTTATACAAGAACCTCTGGGAGTTCGATTTAGTTCATTTAGTCAGGTGCGCGCTGCCGGTCAAAGGTTTGGAATAAATACGTTTTTGCAATGCTTTTAAAAGAAGTCTCTTCTTCTGACCAAGGCTGTGTTTTGTTCAAAAATACAGTAAAACAGTTTAAATATTTGTACAATTTTAAAGAATCTGTTTTAAAATGTCATTTATTCCTGTGATGCAAAGCTGAATTTTCAGCATCATTACTCCAGTCTTCAGTGATCCTTCAGAAATCAAGTCAGGTCATCATAATTTCTCTAGCGCTTTATACAATAATGCATTATAAAGTTGCATGTTGTTCGGCTGCAGTTCAGTGTTGATTCAGATCATCAAGCTCTGCGAAAAATGTTGTCATCGTCCAGCTCAGTTCAGTTCAGTTCTCATACAACAGTGTCAGTACAGTCAGACCAATAATATTGTTGAATAAGAAATGAGGAAATGAAAAAAAGATATGAAATCATAATGCTGCTCAAGAAACATTTCTTATTATAAATGTTGAAAACAGTTGTGCTGCTCCATATTGCTGTGGAATTTGTGATACACTACTATTTGTAGTAATATAATAATGCTTTTATTCAGCAAGGATGCATTAAATTGATCAAAAGGGACATTTATAATGTTACAAAAGATTTCAATTTCAAATAAATGCAAAAACTTTGAACTCAAGTCAAAGAATCTCGATGCATACCCGAACCCTAATTAATAATTGAGCACCACTAATTGATAATACTCGAGTAGCAAATCATCATATTAGAGTGATTTCTGAAGGATCATGTGACTCTGAAGACTGGAGTAATGATGCTGAAAATTCAGCTTTGATCACAGGAATACATTACATTTATCATGTATTTCAGTAAAAAGAAGTTCTTTTAAATTATAGTAATATTGAAACATATGAGTGTGTCTACTGTATGTTCGATCACATAAAAGCCTTGGTCAGCATAATAGACTTCTTTTGAAAACATTAAAAAATCGTACATATTCCAAACTTTTGGTCGCTGGTGTCCCTCAGAAAACCTATAGTCTTTCCTCATGGAATGATTTAAAGCAACATTAAATCAAAATGGACCCTTTTTACTTTCTTAATAGATGTTATTAAAGTGAAATTTCCTGTTGACATAAAAGCCATTCTAATGTGTCAGAACCGTGTGATTATTATATCAGAAGGAATAAATATGACCATATTCTACCACAGACACAAGAGCCTTGAATGCTGTCGTAATATTCAGGTTATATACGCCTCGCTAAGCGCTTTGGACTTGTACTAAATTTAAACAAGGTGTTTATCTGGTGTAAATAGTAATGTTCTCCAGCGCAGCATTATGCTGGATTTCATTTGCTTTGGTTGCACTGGATTTTGTGTTTTGGCATTAACTCTGTTGCTGATCTCTATAATTTCACTGCTCAGCTGTAGAGCGCTTCAAATAGGATTTCACAGAGAGCAGCGGTTGTTCCATCCGATAATCCGTTCTAATCCATGTTATGCTCCAAAAGTCAACAGATTTATTAGGAGGATTTAGAAAAGGAAAAAGTCAAATAAAATCGTACATAATGCTGCATAAATGGCATTGACATTTTCATCTCCTTCTGCTAACAGTATTCTTGTGCTTTTTAAGTCAAATGTTTTTTAAAATGTGCCATAATTGTAAAATATTATAAATGTTTGTCTCTGTATGAGTGAATCTCACAAAAAACACGCCCAGGACATATTTCATAAAACAAAAAAAGTTATATTTTGCATAAAATAATTATCACATCCAATTCCTTTAGATGTTTTACGGTTTAGTTTGTTTGGAATTCTCAGTATATTCTCATTACTGTAATACAGGTGCATCTTTTTCAATGGTAGTGATATAGACTTAATTGTCTTTATGCAAAATATAACTTTTTATTGTTTTGCTGTTAAAGGGTTAGTTCACCCAAAAATGAAAAATATGTCATTAAGGACTCACCCTCATGTCGTTCCAAGCCCGTAAGACCTCCGTTCATCTTCAGAACACAGTTTAAGATATTTTAGATTTAGGCCCCATCCACACTACTGCGTTTTAGTTTAGAAACGGATAATTAAAACGAATACGATCTCCGTCCACACCAGCGTTTTAGCTGCGTATTAGAATTGATTTCCGTCCACATTAAAACGACTGAAAACGCGGATCACGTGACCATTCACCAACACTGGGCATGCGCGTGCCGGTGTAAACACAACTTCATTGATAAAATTATCCCACCATGCTCTGGGTTAACCCCAAACCGACGCTCCATGTACGGTCAACGCCGCCGCTGCACACGGGAATTGTCACAGATCGCTCGAATAATAGCTTGACTCCGGCGCATGTAGGCAGTTATAGCATTGTAAAATGCAGAATTTACTTGTACAACAGCGGCTAGCAAAGATGTGCGCCACGACTGATGACACCCAATCATAGAGCCGAGCGTGAGCCTCTACTACGTCATCGTTTCTAAAGTCCTCCGTTTTGACCCGTCTACACTAAAACGCCCTCCGGAGATTCAAAACGAAAAACGGATCGGCAGCGTTTCTAAACTTCTCCGTTTTGGGTCTCCGTTTTTGCCGTTTTAGTGTGGACGGGAGGTGCAAACGTAGCAAAAGGTCTCCGTTTTTAAACGAAAACGCAGTAGTGTGGACGGGGCCTTAGTCCGAGAGCTTTCTGTCCCTCCATTGAAAATGTATGTACGGTATACTGTCCTTGTCCAGAAAGGAAATAAAGACATCATCACATTCAAAACATTCTAACTAACCCACTGATGTCACATGGACTACTTTGATGATGTCTTTATTTCCTTTCTGGACAAGGACAGTATACCGGACATACATTTTCAATGGAGAGACAGAAAGCTCTCGGACTAAATCTAAAATATCTTAAACTGTGACATGAGGGAGAGTCATTAATGACATTTTTGGGTGAACTACCCTTTAATTATTTATTTCTTTTGGGGGTGAAATATGATCAGGACATGATCTTTTTTAAATTTTTTCTGTATTTCCAGTATACTGAAGTGGATTTAAGAGTGAAAAATCGAACACAGCCACTTGTAAATATCAGTGAAATGAAACTGAGAACACATCTTTATTGGTTTACTTCACAAAAACATTTCATGCAACATCAGAAGAGCACAAAAAGCAAACAATAAAAAAGTGACAACTTTTGAAAGGGCTGTAAAACAGAGAGGCAGATGGGTGTTTTCTTGTATTGTTTTAATAATCTAATGTACAGAATGTGCCATGAATGGATGTCTGGTTTTCAGTAGTTTGGTATTACGGTCTGTTTGTGGTTGAACTGTTACACCGATACCTCAAATGCTGTGGTATTTAGTAGTTTTAACACACAAATGAGCATGGATTAGAACAAAATGTAAGCTCATTTTAATATAGTTTTAGATCTAGGCTAATAAATAGGGCTTTTCTTAGAGTATTATTGAATTATACCTGAAAGTGTTATATGATGGTATAACACTCTTAAGAATGTTTCAAACATTCTTTTTGGCAATTGTCATTTGATTTTGTTCATTTGCAGTATGTAAATAGTGTTTGAATTTTTTTTTTTTTTTTTTTTATTATGAATGCAAATTTCTATTTGCCTCAAACAGAACAAACAAGTGACAATCATACAGGCAGAAACAGAACATGTAAAGGTTTTTGCCTCGCAGATGAAAATATGGCAATTATATAGAATTAAATAATCAGTAACGTTAGGATCATCTAAAGTCAGTCAAGACAGGACATATTTGTGAAAAAAAAAAAATTAAACCGATCTTTTATTGGCTAATTATGTAATCTGGTCAAAATGTATATGATTATATGTTGGTTTGTTTCAGAAACTTTTTGAGTTATTAATTGGAAACGGTTATATAAAACTATATATTCTCCAGTGACCAAATTTTCGTAATCATTAGGCAAGGCTTTATGATGTTGGATGGATCACTACCTCAACAGGATTGTCATAATAATCTGTAATAATCAGAAAAGGTTTCCTTCCGGGCGGCTTCATTTCCCACTTACGCTTCTGTTGTGTTTTCTTCTTATAGAAGAACTTTGTGAAACTTTGTGAGATTTGTACAAAAATGTGTTTAGCAATAAATGTTTTATTTGTACTGGAAATCCTGTTTTGTTGCACAAAGAACTATTGTGTCCACAATAATTATTCATTTTTGTATTTGAGTTGCAATGCTTTTTAATTTCAGGTGTCGGACAGTAGATGGCAGTCTCAACTCATGCATACAGATTACTATTTAACTAAGATCATTTACATTTACTTTTCCTGTGCCTTATATATATATATATATATATATATATATATATATATATACATACACACATATTATAATGGAAAAAAGTATAAAGGAAAGATTAAATCACATAAATACACATACACATATATATTATTATAATGTAAAAACTACTAAGAAAAGAATAAATCACATTGATACTTCACAAACACAAACCACTTTTGCTTTTATCTTTAAAGAATGCCTGTAAAGTTAAATGAAATAGCATCATAAAAATTATTACATTTTTATTTGTGAGCTTGTGATTTAGTTAAGATTATAATAAGATTGATTAATCGTGTTAGAGTTATAAATTACAGGACATCAGCAGACAGAGGAAGACATCACTACTGTTCAGATGCACCTGCGCTTCAAATTCACATAGACCCGGTGCATCAACGCGATTGGCTAGCGCTCCGTAGGGGGCGGGGTTGTATCTTCGTTTAACGCGTGTGATTGGGCTGTTGACCTGTCGATTAGATCAAAGGAACCTACCTGACACTTCCTGCCCATGAATGTTTCGCTTGTTTTGGCAGTGTGATATTTGTGTATCTCTGCCATGTTTGTGTACATCTGTCGCACGTTCATTTACACATTTTTAAACGTATAACATCGTCTTGACGCTCTGGAATAATAACCATACGCACTATATTGGATTATATGCGCAGCTGAGCCCGTTTAATGGATGACTGGAGGCAGGACGTGATTGTTTCTTCTCATTGATCCAGGATCTTACAGTAGCCTACAGATATAGCCTATAAGGTAGGTGAAGCACATTTTCATTTGATTAATTGTATGAATGGGTCGATGGAGTATTGATTAGGAACAGTCTGTGCACGTCACTCATTAAGATGGGTTAGTAAAGGTGAAAGGTTACAGCCCTGTGCGCGTCACCGCGGTGTTTGTATGTTGCAAGTTGCGCGTATGATGAGACGCGCGCGCGCGCATGAGCCTCAAAATCCTACTTAGACCCATCAGCTCAATTCTGTCATTTGTAATCTCTATGTTGTCTATTAACACCTCTTAAAGCAGTAATAATAATTACATATTTTGCTTGGCAATATGCGTTTTGCATCATTTGTAATGTCATAGTGAGTATTTGCGTGGCTGAGATTGTATCTTTGAATGCACTGTTTTAACTTCTGGTATTTCTTAAAGATGATTTTGTTTTGCTTTCTGTATTTTAATTTTTTGGAGATGTAGTTATTATAGGCTATGCATTTTTTTATTTTATTAACAAGTTATTTTACATGCAATGCTACGCGAGTTTATTAATTAGCTTTCACATAGCGTTAATTATTGCTGATATTGATTATGTTTTCAGAGATATTACAGTGTCTGTTTATATGTTGTAATATTAACAGATAATGCAAATCCCACATGCTTCTTTGAATTGAAATTTTTTCACAACATATTTTAAACCGCATATGTCTGGTTGGTCTGTTCAACAGTTCCATTGTAATTTATTTTAGTATTTTGTGTGTGTGCAAGATGTAGGTCATTTCAGAAGGCTATCAAAGAAGCTTTTTGTTGTTGAAAAAGGCATTGTTTTCCCGCATTGTCTTTTATGCTTGCTCTACAATTCACACACTTGCAGTGCAGACAATGTGAGATGTGTGTAATTGATCAGGACGAAACTTGGAGTAAGTGAGAAGGAATCCAGCAGCTGATGGCTGAGAGCCAGAGCATTCCTCGGCCCAGAACCGGTGTAGTATTCAGTGTTTGAGCTGCCCTGATGTGTGGTGCTGTTGGCCCTTATACGTATGAGTGCGGGTTTAGGTGACCAGGGCAAACGTGAACCTTGCCATCGTGAGCAGATGTCATGAATTTGAGTTTCTTCTGGAAAGGTTCAAAGTCATACACCTAAAGAGGAAAGTGCTGTCACTGTTTAGTGTTTACTCACCCTCATGTACATCCAAACCTGTTTATCTATGAAACGTAGACAAAGATATTCCTCAGAATGTTCACTGTACTTTTTCCATAACCGGAATAAGCTGTTTTGAGCTTTCAAAAATGACAAAAACACAACTACAACTAGTGTACTTTAGTGTTTTAAAGTATATAACTTTGTGTGAGGGAAGTGTTTTCTTTTTGTCTGTGTACTGATTTTATGTATAGCTACAAAAGACTTCATATGCAAAAACTTCTAAGTCCATCTGACATTTTTCTTTTAAATAAGCATTTTTATCAGGCTCCTATGTTTAGGTTCAGTTATTTCACTTTAATGAAACGTTTATTAGTCAGTTATTGAAATGCCTTATTTTCAAAAATGTCACTGATAAGAGTAAAATTAAAAACATAAAAATGCTCATTTAAAGAAAAATGTCATAATATATATATACACAGCTTTCATGTGTCTTATCCTCTCTCTACCAATCGGTCACATTGCTTTTGTGAGACTTTCTGCCTCTCCAGGCTCGGCTCTGTCCGATGCTTGTGTCCATCGTCTTCCTCTTGATCACATTCCCGAGGTTTTCAGTGGCGTTCAGGTCTGGAGATCTGGTCATGACAGGGTCTGGATCTGGTGGCATGGGGCAAAAAAACACTCCTCAGATTTGGGGAACATTGTCAGAACAGAAGGACGCGAGGATCACCTTGTTTACGGCTTGAGTCACGCGTTCTTAATAAAGACGGATCACCTGATTCATGTTCTTCTCTGATGAGTCCAGGTTTCAGCTTTGCTCATGTAATGGTTAGACGGAGACCTACAACACAGTCTCTCGCGGTTCTTCTCTAAAGCTGAATCGGGCGGATCAGTCTGGACTCATGACTCAAGGACATCCTGGGACAAAATTTGCTTCCCTCTGACAATCCAACTGTTTGTAGCGATATACGCCTCTGTTTTGCTTATGCACGTATGCTTGTGAAAGTGAAACTGATGACATTTCTTACATCCATTTTCTTGCTTGTTTGTAATCAATAGGATATTAAATGAAGGCAATGCGAGTGTCAGATATTTGACAGTTCCTGGTGTTTCTCATTGTGTGCTGTTATGTCAGAGCCACATATCTTGAGATGCACATGAGATTTGTGTGTGTAGAGTTGCAGTAGTGCACCTCTACACCCCCCCCCCCCCCCCCCCCCTCCAGGTGTCTGGACATCTGACATTACACAACACGCAACTTCTCCACGAGCAGGTCATGTTCAGAAGACTGTATTTATATCTCACACACACACACACACACTCAAACATGTGTGAGACTGGAGAGACTGCATTCACTCTAGTGCGCGTCATTGACCGATATATCACCAACCTTTTAGTTTAGCTGAATGATTACTATTTTTATGTACCAAGGTATTAAAATGGTACTCCCATGGTATTTTCATGATGCATGTCATAAATGATGTATTATTGTACATGTCCACATTTTTTTTAGGTTGTTTAAGTACACTATCATATTGTGGTGAGGGAGTTTTTTTTTTAAAGATTACTTCTATTCTCCAAGGATGCATTCAATTGATCAAGAGACAAATAACTTTACAATGTAACTAAAGATAAATAAATGCTGTTCTTTTGAACTTTATTTCCATCAAAGAATCCTGATTTTTTTATTATTATCATGGTTTCCACAAAAATATGAAGCAGCACAACTGTTTTCAACTTTGATAATAATAATAATAAATGTTTTTTGAGCATCAAATCATCATATTAGAGTGATTTCTGAAGGATCATGTGACACTGAAGACTGGAGTAATGATGCTGAAAATTCAGCTTTAATCACAGGAATAAATAGGATTTTATAATATTTCATAAATATTACTGTTTTATATTTTCGATCATAAATCTGATTTTTAATGAATCATATAAACATGAATTTTACTGAACGAGGTTAACTCAGAAGTGTAGTTTTAATAAGTAAACATTCGTCTGTAAAACAGCTTGGAACTTGAGGAGGAAGTGTAAGTGTGTTATTGATATTTTCTCCAGATTGTGAGTCCCTTAAATCCAGTCTGACCATCATCTGCTTATAGTACAAACCACAAACCGTCTGAATAAACTAGTGCTGCCACTAACGAATAATTTTCTAACGACTAATCTTTCGACTAATTTTTCGATTAGTCGACTAATCTAAACGACTAATTAAAAAAAAAACATTGTTTGTCATTTCGTTGTGTCCATTTTATTTTGAACTGAAGGGCCAAAATATAAAATGTCACCTGTTGAAAAACATTATGTATTAACAATCTAAGCATAAGTATCTGCATTTCCATTAGGCTATAGGCTACCATTAGTCAGAGTCCTAATCTAATCCTCTATTAACAAACATGCATGTATTCATTACTTAAATTAGCTCTTTGTCCTGCCTTAAATAAATACATTAGCTTACTGTACATTTTTATATGTACATTTCTGAAATGCATAACTGATAACATCACTGTGAATTGTAGGCTAAAGTAGATGCACTCATGCATTTGATAAAATGGGGGGCGCCGGGAACAATCGCGCGCGGGCTCGGACCGCAGCAAACGAGCCCAGTGTGAAAGCACCGTCACCTGCCTCCGCAATTTTTCATATCAAAGCAGTGAAGGCGGGGGAGGGGGAAGGAAGAGGATGGCAGATTAACCAGCAGGGCGCGCACATCGCACAGACTGGTGTGTGGAGCTGAATTACAGTGAGCCGTTTGAGACGGGAGACCAAAAATAAATATGCGGTCAATAGTAAAACGACACGTCGACTAAAAAAATTGGCGTCGACTAATTTGCATGGTCGATTACGTCGACTAAGTCGACTAATCGCGGCAGCACTAGAATAAACAGTCATTCAGTGATGTATGATCATATTAGTATGACAGTGTTGAAGAATCATGACTCTGTTCATTATATTAAACTAACAACTTCAGGCAGTTTCAGTGGCATAATTAATTCTACAGTATGCAGTAATAAGAGGCCTAATATAAGACTCCTCCAGTCTGCATCCAGGACCATTAACACATGCTGTCTAATTAATGCTTTAAAAAACAGTGATGTGACGAGTGATTTAGAGATCAGCGATCAAGAACTGCGCTATCTGACAGCTTCCTGTGGAAAGCGACGAGTTATGCTGACTTTGAGTCAGTAGAGCGGGCTCGTTTACAAGAACTTGATTAATTAAAGATAATACTGAAGCTCTTGCCTGAAGATCTGTTATTGTACAGTGAGAAGAGAAGTTGGGTCATGGACTTCTGTGCAGTGACGTCTGAGTTCTGTTTTGACTAATGATAGATTGATATCAGCCAGGGGTTATTATTTTGACCCGTTGACAGATTCACAGAAATGGTCATTTTCTAAATGAATTACTGGATTTAAAGCTGCAGTCCGTAGCTTTTTTTTGGGTTAAAAATTATTCAAAATAAATTTGAGCAAAGGCATAACCAGCCAGTGTTCAAAACTCTCTGCTTGCCTTAGCTCCATTCAAAGCGGTAAGCTTGTAATAATGTTTATAACTCCAGTGGTACTGGTGGATTTCCGCGGGAGATTCGAGCTTGTCTTTGCGTCATTACGTCACATCTGTACACACACATCTGTACACACACATCTGTACACATAAAGAAGAGTCTTGGCTATATTACGTGTGAGGATGTTGGAGGTGGAGATTTATAGCCTTTTCTCACAGCACTTGATATAATTAAACTTATTAATTTGATGATGGATCCAGAAAGGTTCAAACGACAATCACCAGTGACAACTGGAGACCCACCCGCTGTAAAATGCAAAAGACTTCGTTCGGACTTCGGATCGGCTACAGAAAAAAAGAGACTGCAACCGGACCCATGCGAAAACAA